GATTCTAGCTCGAGCGTACCATACCGTGCCGCGGTTTTCTCCAGCCCCGCGTGCCCAGGCTGCTGGCCCCAGCCTGTGCACACAAAGACAGGCCTGGCTCGCCCCCGAGATCGGGAGCCGGCCCGCACAGGCTCCTGTTCCTGGCAGAGAAATATTAATTTTCTACATTTTTTTAGGGGCCCCACAGGCCAGATAGAATGGCCTCATGTGCTGGATACGGCCCGCAGGCCGGATTTTGCCCACCCCTGGTATACCACCAACATCCCATTATTGTCATCACAATAAAGTGTCAGAACTTCAAGGAATAATGCAGCTTCATGGAGGTGGAGGTTTACAACAGACTGTGATTTTATAATATGTAAGTGAAGTCTCACCTCAAACAGGCTTCCATTCTCCTGACAGCTCTCATGGCAAAGCCACAGGACTAAAGGAGAGACGTACTCTGGTTTGAAAGCATCCAACATATCTGGGGAAAAAATTAACACACACGCACATGAGAACAAAATTATTATTAAACAATAGTCTTTCCAACATTTTCTGTTGGAAAAAGCAGATTAGTCAAAAAATAAAAAATGTTGATTTGACAAGTCTTTTGAGAGAAGAGAGGCAGGTTTTACCGATGCATATCTGTCCACATCCACATCAGCCCACCTGAAGGACTACTTCTGAGCTGGAAACCTCAACTGTGCCAAGCTGGAGAGTGGGGAAAGGTTTCCCTGTTCCATGGGCAGCTATGTCCCCGAATCATTCAGCATAGGAAGTAGGTAGCATTAAAAGCCAACGTTCCACATAGCGGGGCAGACACTGGATCAAAACAAAACCACCATGGCAAAACTGACTAGTCTCAGTTTCCTGACTGCTATTTGGTGGTAGCCGGCAATGAAACTGATGAGAATCATGTCTGTTTCAATTTGCAGCATGCCCAAGAATCTGGGAGCATATTTCATTTTTGAGGATAACATTCCAGTTTCACAGATATGGAACAGATATCTGGTTTTCTAGACAGCTCTAATAATCACTCATTTTTATCTATATTCTGTAACAGTTGACCAAATTTCTTACAAACTTGAATAAGTGTTAATGATCATTTCCATTGCTGGCTTTGAGAATGTTATGCTGTTTTAACAACTTTAAAACAGATCCCTGGCTGTTCTTCAGCTAAGGGTCAGGTTGTATTTTCATTACACCTTAATGAATAGAGCCCTAACAGTTTACTTTTGCAAGTGTTTCTAAATACCTGAGGCTAAAACAAAATTGCTCATTTTAGAAAAAAATATAGTCCCTGACTTCACCAATACCAGATCAGCTAGAAAAAACAAAAACATCTTTTGCATTGATAATGTCAAGCCTCATCAACCATCTTTAAAAACAAAACAAAAAACCCAACAAATATGCATTAGCAGACTAGCTAAAGGTGGTTATGGCAGACAGCTCATTTTCCTAATCTACTCCAAGCAACAACCACTTTCCTAACAAATTTTCTAACAGACACACTTGTTATTGTTTATGGCAACTGCCTACATTACATTATACAATGTGTTCTTAATAAAAAAAATAAACAGTTGACTTTAAGTATTTCTACAATAACGCATGCAACTGAAAAAAAACACATGCAATTGACATGCAAATCACATCCTTCTCTGCTCAGTATGATTTATATGGATGAGAAATATCAAGAGCAGGCTTAATACATGCTATTAAGCACTGTACAAAAAGCCATCCTTCCACCTGGCATCCACAGGCTATTCATCTAAGTATGCAATACTCCATTAATTTTCTATAAATGCTGAATGGGTAAATGAATTAAAAATAAACACATTTTACAAGACTTTGGAAGTAGGAAGTATTTCATGCAATCCACTACAAAATGAAAGCCACAGTCAATATTTTTGATACATTAACACTCTGGGCTATGGATCAAAATCTCTACTGCACCTCTTGTCATTAGTTATGCTAATCAACAAATCCTTCAAGAAATACTGGTAAGGATCTGTCACAGATTACTAAGTCAAACTAAAAACTGGATGAGGCATGCCTTAAACACTTATTTAATGCATAGAAAAAATGGTTTTGTTATAAGAGATACCAGTTTAAGACACATGCTGGAGTCCTCATGTAGCCAGCAGTTAAACATCCACAGAATTTCTAAATGTTGGATGACAATTTCTAACTCACAAGATACTGTATTTCAGCATAAGGGAACTCTATTTTGGACCTTATTGTGATAGATAAAAGATGAATAAACTGTTAGAGTGGAAGTGGGTGGTTGCCTAGGAGCCAGCAGTCATGACATGATTACATGTAAAATGGCCCTACACAGTTGTTAGGTAGCATTTAAAATAGATAGATATTACAAAAAGAAGTGGAGCCCTTTAAAAATAATTCTCTAACAATAATAGTATGAAGGTGCTAATAAACAGCTGAGTAGCCAATTTTTGACAAACAGGATTTACAATTCCTTAAAGAACAAGGCCCCTAAAGGCAGGCTGAGAGCTGTGCTTTGCAGACTTAAAACATTTATATCCCCCTTAAAAAGTTACAAGACAGTTTATAACTAAGCTATAGTTCATGCCCAGTGTGTTAAAAATATATCTTCTCCCTCCTACTGAAATTTGAGGGAAGGGCATTATATAGTCCATATGTCGTAAAACACATCACATGACAAATGAACAATATTATAATAAAAACAAATACAAGTCAATACAGGTCTGATTTGGTGTCTGAGTAAGACTTTCCACTGATTTCAGTGAATGTTAGATAAGGCCACAGTTGCAAATTTACTCTGTATAAAATAATTCTTATGAAATAGAGAGAGACTACTTCTCACGTGAAGTCTCATTTCATAACACAACAGAACCTGGCAAATGTAACTGCTGTAAGCAAACAAGAAATGAACTCTTAATGTACTATTATTGTCATAAAATGTAACAAAGGAATATTTCAAGTGATGAGAAAGCTAGTTGTGTTCCAGCACAGAGATAGAGACAACACTCAGAAACTAAGTCACTTACCTGGTGGCATAATTGTCTGAGTCATCCTTGAGCCAGCAGTAGGTGCAATTGTGTTACAGTGAATGTTGTATTTTCTGCCTTCAACTGCAAGCGTATTTGCAAGACCCAGAAGGCCAAGTTTGGCAGCACTGTAGTTCGCCTGACCAAAGTTGCCATAAATTCCAGCAGCTGAAGATGTCATAATTATTCTTAGAGAAGGAGAAAAAGAAAGCTGATATTTTCAATAGGACATTAGGCCCAAAAGAATGTTGAGTTGGGTTAGGGTTGCAATGATCTGGTACAATGATATAAACATTTTGTAAGAATGAGAGAAGTATTAACAGAACACTGGTACTCTGGTTAATATTAATTCATGTTTAACAATACTAATGTTACCATTTGGCAATGAACATGTTATACAGCAGAGGAAAAAGGAAGAATAGGACCATATATAGAGGGATGCAATGCCCATATTTTAGGCCCAGCCAGGCAAAATGCTTGGCTATAAGTCTCTCTCCTTGCCACTCAGGCTCTGTCATTTGGATGGCTTTGGATGCCTTTTTGGTCATAAGATGTAGCAAAAATTGATTCCAATTGTCATGCCTGGGAATATGAAGCCAAGCAGCAAAGTTGTCAAAACCTCAGAAACATTACAAAGAAATGCTAAACAGGTGAACTATATAAAGCAGTCCAACCACATGAATGGATGGTGCCATGTCTTTACTTATTGTACATACAACCTGAAGATATTTAGTGAAAAACAAATACGTTTCCACCAAACAAAACCCAGGCCAAACAAACATTATTGGGATGTTATCCACAAGGCATAATACAAAGAGACCCTCTACCTCACACATTTATTACCAATCCCCTCCCGACTGACTCAGGAAACTCAGACTCCTTAAGAGAGAGATGTAGTTAGCCATGTTAGTCTAAAGTTAGCCAGAAAGCAGGACAGGTTGGCACCTTATAAACTAACTCAGGGCTGTTCAGCTGGTGACCTGCAGGCCACAGATGGCCCACAAGGGGTTAAGTTGTAACCTCTGGGTTCCTGCTTGGCCACCATACCACACCCCACCGTTTCCCTGGCTGCAACGGTAACTGGGAGCCCCAGGCTGATGGCTAGAAAATGATATTTAGTGGTTTGCTTTTAGGAATTGCCTTGTAGGTAAAGTAGATACTGCATTAGAACAATGGTACAGGGCAACGACAAGGGTTAACTGGCTTCAAAAAGCCTGTTTGTGATAGTTTCCTTCAAAGCCCATTGTGTCTGGAGCAAGCAGACACACAGGCTGGGAAACTGAAGACATGTTCCATAATGTGAGATAAGGGACTCTGCCATGTTGGCCAGATCACAGTGCCCAGCTGCAGAGCCCTTGGGATTTTCAGTTTTGGTGGACAGACCAAATTAAGAGACTGGTAAGTGCCCAAATTAAGGTGTGTGCATATGATGGGTTTGTCGGAACAAAGAATATGCTGACAGAACAGAACGTGGATGGTATGACGACCATAAGGAGACCAATCAACAGTACCCAGGAATGAAAAGTCATCAGAAAGAAAGAACATAAATGGAAGGATTTCAGAGCAGCAAAGGGTTCCCTGAGAGGGGAACCTGAGGCCATCATGGAGAGGGTATACCACCAGCCTGGTTTCACTCACCCCACTGGGGGAGGGTAGGCCTTGGCCCTCAACTTCCAGGCTGCTGATATTCAAGCAAGAACAACAGGGTGAAGCTTGCATACTGGCCAGACATACCTTCCCTCTGTGACTGCTTTAGGACTGGTAGATATAGAACTAGGGGGATTATTTTGTTTGCCTTGCCTGCATTATTCTTATCTGCCATCACTGTGTATCAATAAAATTTGCCTATTATTGAATGGAGAAGTCATGGTCGGTCTGACGGTTTGGGTCCACCTGGAACAAGGTATCTGGGTCATAAATCCAGTGCCAACATAGGCTCCCCCTTGTCTTCAGCTGCTGGTTCGTGTCCCTGCCTTGGGGGATGTAGTAGTGCCACACAATATGGGGAGCAGAAAGTGAGCCTGGGGGCTACATGGCAGACCATACAGCTGCAGGAGCATCTGCACAGCACATCACCCTTACTGGTGTGATCTACAGAGCATGCAGTCCCTGGTCGCTTGGAAGTTGGATGACCTTGAACTACCTCAATCAAAAAGGCATGAGCTATCATGCCTCTGAAAAAATTAATCTATAAAAGGTACCATCCTGCCCTGCCTTTTGCTTAAAGAAGTCAGGAGTCAGAGCTTCTGGCATTCTGCTATAAGTTAATGGAAAAAAAAAAATTAACTTTACGCTATTTTACCTGCCAAACTTCTGATTTTTCATATGATTCCATGCAGCTCGAGTGACCAGGAATGATCCCTTCAAGTGAACTCTGTGAATTATATCTAAAACCAAATAGGATTTACAAATACGGCATTTCTTTCCTTTTGACAGCAAAATAAAAACACACAGTTCCACTTCTTCCAAAAGTAAATGAAATGCCCCTTGAACATCATCTCACTACTTGCACTCAGCCAGTTAAGAGACTATCAGACTGTAGTTTGCATGGTGAAAACTTTTGTCTGGATTGCCAGGTTCAATTTTGAACCTGGCAGCCAAGCCCCTACCTAATCCCCTGAGTGGGGATCTGGCATATGAGGCTCAAAGTCAACCAAGTCCTTATGCCTGCACAAATCAGAAGCTGATTTCTCCTGTAGTTCCTGCCTCTCCCCAGAAGTCTGGCCAGTTACTTATCTGGCTGCTTACTTATCTGGCTGCTGATCACGCACCTCCCTCCTCTACTCTGGCTATAGATCAACTTCACATACAACCCTTTCCTCGCCCCGGTTGCTAAGAACTGCTGGTCTTTCTGAACTACTGACAATTTCAACCCAATATCAATGTTTCGGCGCTGCAAAATGATTTTATTGTCTTCTCAACCACACAGGAGGTCTGGTTATTACTGGAGCTTGAGGCTGTTGTTTTTTCCCCACGATTTGTTTACTAGAGTCCAGCATGGAATACAGAAAACACCCAAACTGCAAGCTGGCAGCCAATTAAGGTTAGAGCTGCTAAGAAAAGATGGAGAGAAGGCTCACTCTCCCTTTTCTGTACCTAGAATATCCACATATGGAAAAGGCAGAATTTACTTAGAGTCTAGCATCCTTAGAGTCAACTTCAAACTTAGCTACTCACCCCAATCTTCATCACTTATTCTAGCAAATGAACGGTCTCTCAGAATCCTAAAAAACATCACCAGGAAAACAAAAAGAGAAGATAAGCATGGATTTACACAAAAGGAACTCAGTCTAGTACAATGGTGAAAGTGAGATGTACTTACCCTGCATTGTTTATAACAATATCTGGAAACAAACAAGCAAAAAAAAAAAAATTAACACACATGAATATACACCTACTTTGGCTTTGCTCCTGCTTTCAGTTTTTACTACTGCTATACACGCTTTCATATTATTAGCCACTGCTTGTACTGACCAGAGCTTTCACAAAACTTGTATTCATGTATAATGGAAGCCAAACAAAACATTTTGGGACGTGCATTATCAGTCCACCATGTATTGCAGTGAGGTAGAGTACTCCACCCACAAGGTATCATATTCTTCCTTTATATATAAAGGAATAAAATCAATCTAACAATAAAAATGATTTTAAAAAAAAAATCAATCTTCCTTTACACTATTAACAATTCCCAGCTTTGTATGATCTCTACATTTCATAAGTGGCTATCTGGCTCTTGCTGGAATCCTCCAGAAGCCATGGGAATGCGTAGGAGAGGTGAGGGAGAAAAAGAGGGCATGGGGAAATACTTGGGGAACCAGTAATGCAATGCAGACCCCATAGTTTGTGCAAGGCAGGAAAACAGATACCAGAGTAGCTCAAAACTCACGTATCATCTCTCTCCCCCTCCAGAAGCACGTAGTCACTAGGCCTGTGTGAATAGGATTCAGCCAATTCAGAGCATAGTGATTCAATTTGCAGATTCAGATCACTGTCCCGAATTAATTCGGCTGAACAGGCTTTAAAAGATTCGGCACCAATTCAGAGAGATTTGGTGATTCAGCCATAGACTATAATGGGGAAACACTGAAATACCTATAACTTTGTCATTTTTTGGCAGATTTGGATGAAAACATCAGGAGTGGTAGCCCCTTCTCAGGGCATGAAGCCTGCCATGTTTCAAGGAGACAGGTGCAGGGGTTTCTGGGAAACTGTACCTCAAACTGCTGAAAGTAAAACTCATGTCACTTGTGTGTTTAAGGCAGATTTGGATGAAACAGCAGGGATGGTAGCCTGTAACAGGGGGCTTTCTCAGTGCCAGTTAGATCTGTGCCCACCTACCTGTTTCTGGGCCAGCCCTGCCCCTCTTTTGCTGAGGCATAAACAGCTCACAAAATGGACAGAAAGGCTGTAGGTAGAGCAGGGGCGGGCAATTATTTTGGGCAGAGGGCCACTTACCGAGTTTTGGCAAGCCATTGAGGGCCACGTGACAGGCAGCCAGGGGCAGATTAATATTTATTTTCTCAATTTTTTAGAGGCCCCGTGGGCCAGATAGAATGGCCTGGCAGGCCGCATCCAGTCCGCATTTTGCCCACCCCTGAGATAGAGGCTTATATGCTGTTTCTATATCCCTTCCCCAGAGCGCTGTGATTGGAAAGGGACTCAGGAAAAGATCACATTCACTGGCCAGCTACAGATGTCAGTCTTTCCATCTGCCCTGCTCCTCCTCCCTCTTCTCAGTTTCTGTTCCCCTGAAAAAACTGCCTTCCAAATCTCCGAATATTTTTCCAAATCATTTTGGAAACTCTGAATCAATTCACAGGGTTTTTTTGGTCGCCCGATTCGATTTGGATTCAGTAATTCGGCCTCTGAATCAGGCTGAATCTTCTCCAAATCGACTCAGCGACCGAGGCTTCGCATACCCCTAGTAGTCATCCATTGTCAGGATCTCAGCACATACTTCCCCAGGCAAGCAAGATCCCCAAAAAGCCACAGGTAACTTCTCTAAGGTGGTATCACAGGAAATGTAAATATGTGCCAGAAAGAATTTTGGAGAAGGGGAAAATGGGAGAGAAGGAAGAGGGGAAAATGGAAATAAAATGAAAGAAAACAGCAGAAAGAATATGGAAATAAAGTGGTTCAAGACTAAAAAAAAAAAAAGAATGAAAGCCTGTAACTTAATGATTTGAAGAGTTCTATTTACATTTGTTCCTATTAATTGATCATCTTAGGCTATGTATCGTTAAAATCTAAAACAGAATGGTCATCAATGCATTTGAGCAAAACAAAAAAATTACACACTTCACTAGTTAATACAATGCCAGGAGTATTTTAACTTCTCTAGCACCGCCTTACTCTATGCCTTACAGAGATATGGAAAAAGGAAATAATTTCTCAGGCACAAAACAAAACATCTTTAAGTCTTCTTCATGTTTTCAAACTTCAACAGACTAGATGCAACATCCTCTCACTTAGTGTTTTAGATGCAGCAATCAATACACCACCTAATTTATTGTTTTTTTGAACACCAACACTTTGAGGTACATAAAGATAAGGCAACTCTCTTCTGAGATGCATACTTCTTTTTACACAAGGAAGTATGAAGATGCTATAAAACTGCTCAGTCAGACTTCTGTATAAAAGTGCAAAACTGAACTACTATGAAAGAATTATGTAACAAGTCACAAGCTAATTCACACTCCATTTAGATAATCAGATTACAAGTTAAAAATCACATTAAGAAAGATAGCAACAATACCATAACACAAAACAGGTTAAAGTTCAAAGCTCATTTTGTTCCCCAATAATTCTGTCTTTTTTTTATTATTATTATTATGCAAGAACAGGCCTGTACCACACCTCCTCCTGTTCTGTTCAAAGAAATGAGGGTAAAAAGAAATGAGAGTAGACAGTTTATCAAAAGCAAACAAAAAGCAGGCTTCTAGAATAATGTTCTAGAAATCACAGTAAATCCTTCTCAGAGATGCACAATGAATTCAACCTTCTGAAAAAAGTTGAACGAAAAGATATGCAGTTGCATCACATATTGGAAAAAATCAGTTTGGACCTGAAGCTTTAGGTGTAGCAAAAGCTCCGGATATTTATTTTTTCCCTTGAAATCTTCTTCTCTTCCTCATTCTGTACCAGAGCAAAGGCCTTAGGCTTCCAAAAGGCCTTTGATCTGGTATTCCGTGATGTTCTCACAGGAATATTGGAGGATTGCTCAACAGTTAGGTGCGTAGCAAGCTGGCTGCAGGGTAGGACCCAGAGAGTTCTAATGAACAGATCTGTGTCATCGTGGTGAGAAGTGGCCGGTAGTGTCCCTCAGGGGTCTCTGCTTGGTCCAGTGCTTTTCAACATCAATGATTTGGATGTGGAGGTGAAGAGCTCACTGGCCACATTCATGGACGACACCAGTTATAGGGGAGCATGGTCACACTTGAAAATAGGCTGCAGATACAGGCAGACAAGTTGGGTGGGTCAGAACCAGATGAAGTTCAACAAGGAGAAGTGTGAAGCGCTCCATCTGATCAGAGACAAGCCCCATATGATCAGAAGCAAGCCATACGAGGAAAGGCTGAGGGACTTGGGTATCTTCAGCCTAAAAAAAGAGAAGGCTGAGAAGGGATTTGGTAGCAGCTTACTGCTACCGAGGACATCAAGGGCTCATCAAACAACTGTTTACCAGGGCACCCTTGGGGAATACCAGGAGTAATGGTCACAAACTCTTGGAAGACCGTTTTAGGCTTAACACTAGGAAAAACTTCTTTACAGTTAGGGTGTCCAGACTGGAATAAACTCCCTTCAGAGGTGTTGCAATCACCTACCCCGGAAAACTTCAAGGGGAGACTAGACGGTCACCTCGCTGGAGACACCTGGCTGCTGCTGTCTTTCCTGCCTAGTGCAGGGGTTTTAGACCTGATGATCTTGTGAGGTCCCTTTCAGCCCCTTTCAAACTACAAATTGCTCTATGAATATAAGATGTCACATAACAGATCTGACATAGACTATTTAAGGCTCAAGTGGAATGAAGACCTAGGTATGAACCAATTCCAGTGGAAATCAGCAGTTCAGAATATTAAAACATCTGCAGTTGATCTCAGAAATCTTACACAGCAAAAACTTGTTTGCCATCTTCACCAAGCTGCCTCTAAACTTAAGAAACTAAATATAGTGCCAGGGGATACATGCTGAAGATGCAATACATTGCGTGCAACACTTGATCACATGTTTTGGTCATGCCCTGTTACCCATTCTTTTTAGTAAGAAATTATAAACAGAATAGCACTGTTTTGAAATAAGTAGTGACATCTATGAAAAAGATATGCATTCTTGAGAATAGGGAGTTCAAATTGAAATGTTTCTGGTTCATACTCTTACAACAGACCTTACTAGTGACATGCAGGATTATATTACTGCATTGGAAAAGTTAGACAAAGGTCAAAACCTGGTATGGTGGAGATGGTACAGCTGGCATCTATGGAGAGAGACATGTTTTGCAGGTATAACTGCTCCAGAAAGTTTTGTGCAATCCAGAAGGATTTCTTAGAATACTTTGGTGACAATTATTATTCCTTCACATTTCTTTTCCTCTTCTATCCCCATCTTGCTTCTTTTTTTCCTCCTCTCTTCTTTCCTTCTCTTTTCCGCATTATGATTGCGTCTAATGATTGTATACATTAGACACGTATGTAGTTCAAGTTGATGCATAGTTAATATATACTGTAATAATTCAATTAAAAGAGGAGCTCCTCCCTGTATTTAATATGGAGAGGAAGCCCTTGTATTAGAACCAAATAGAAGGGTGGTTTGGGGTGGTGTGGGGTGGGGAGGGAGGCAACTGATGTGCCTTGGGCTCCATCCCCTATTTGGGGTTGGGACCAAAGCTGCAGCTGTTGCCTGCTCTCCCCCCTGCTACATCTGCACCCCACCATCTGCCCCTTGCAGCCTCCCCCATTTCCCCCTACAGTCTCTGCTTTCCCATCTGCCCCTCTCCCTCCCCTGCCATCACACTTGCTCCATGCCAGCAGGCTTCATGAATGCTGCAGTCTGGGGCACTGAGCACTGTCCTAGCACTAGCATAAACACAGCTGCTATGAGGCTGGGCTAGGGCCATACTCAGTGCCCCAGGCTGTATTATGCATGGAGCCTGGGGTGTGGAGCAAAAGTGGGAGCAGGAGGGGAAGGGAAGCAGGGAGCAGAGGTTGTCGGGGAGGGGGCAGCAGAGGCTTGGAGGAGGAAGAGGAGGAGAGCAGAGCAGAGGGGAAAGGTGAGGCAAGACTGCAGGTAGGCAGGGTAGAAAGAGGTGGCAGGTACGAGCAGGGGGTAAGCTGCTTGACCTCCCCACACAGATCTGCAGCTGTGGGGATGATGAATTAAAGATGACCCTGCAATAATTAGATTCTCGACATAGAAATATTATAACAAATGTATGTATTTTCCATGTCGAGAATCTAATTATTAGGGAATTGTCTTAGATTCAAGTAAGGTATGGATTTCTAATGCGTGTTGAATTTAAAAACCCAATAAAAAATAAATAATAAAAAAAAGGTTCCAAAAGGCTGGAAGCTCCATTCCTGGAAATTTTCAAGAGTAAGTTAGACAGTCACTTGACTGGGGTAGTTTAGTCAGAGACAATCCTGCCAATGAGGTCAATGAGGTCTCCTGAGGTCCCTTCCAACCCTATTTCCTATGACTGTATTCATTAAATATTAACAGTAAAGTGCATGGCTTAAGATGAGCCTGCATTTGCAACAAGCAGGATGTAAAACTGTACCTATTCTCCCAAAAGCTTCTAGTGCTTTCTTCACAAGCTTCTCTCCAGCTTCCACTGAATCTGAAGAAAAAAAAACAAAGGAAACAAAGTATAATTATTTTCACGTAAATGAAATCACCGGCTACACAATAACATAGTCTTATAGATATGGTGCAAAAGGACTCCATGGAAAAATATTTGTTTAAAACGGTGAATTATTCATATGCAGGGCCGTCCCTAGGGGTGGGTGAGTGGGGCAGCTGCCCCGAACCCCGCAGACAGTGCCGTACAGCCCCTGCCGTGGCTACTGCCGGCTCCACAGTTTGGCCGCTTCCCACCTCCCAACCCCACAGCCTCACACAGGCTGATATGTCCCGGGCCTGAACACCCCTAGGGATAGCTCTGTTCTTATGTAATCATTAAGGGGGAAAAACCATGATAGGCAACATGGCCAAGTCCTGTACACTAAAATTGAGAAGCAAAACAGATGAATATTGCAGGCTAGTTCTAGCAAAGTACCAAGCACAATCACAGGTAACCTATGGGGCTTTTACTCCCCAACTGCAGCCTATTAGTACTGAGAACAACTAGAAAAGAAAGGGACAAGAAATTTAAGGTGAATATGGTTGTCATTTGTTTTTGATTTTGCCATGTCCTAACCCTCACCATTGATCTATCCCATTGAATGAGCACACCATTATAGTGCTGTTGTCTTTTGTCAGGCATGACCATCATTTCATTTAGTACAGCTGTAATGTTATGCATTATTTCCACAAATAAATCATCTTTACTAGACTGGTAAAGCAACATACCGTAGTTTGCTACTGCTTTCCCTCCTTTTGCTCTTATTTCTTCAACTACTTTGTCAGCAGCTGAGGAGCTTTTGCCATGTCCTTTGAAGTCACCTCCCAGATCATTCACTGTGTAACACAAGAAAAGAAATTTTGACCAGTTTTCAGTCTCTTCTTATGTCTTAGCCTCCAAGGTGTCCAAAGAACTTTATCAAAACTGAATCTAGCTAGATTCTATTATTTGAAGAAGAGTAAATCCATTGAAACAAAATTGTTTAACAATGTTCTACACGTTTCCATTAAAAAAAAATTCAGGAAATGACCTTAAATTTTCACCCATGCTTACAAATATTTGCTTTGTCAAACAATATCACTGTTGTTCAAGAAGATTAAGATTTAAACATTGCATATTCACATGCATTAGCTCAAGTAAAAAAAAAAATTGTGTCTATCTTGCTGGGATCCTTTGACCCTAGCTGACTTGCTGTCCCTGGGGCAGGGGGCTGATCTCAATGTTCTTCCAAGGTCCCTTCCAGCCCTAATGTCTACAAAATCTATTAAGTTTAGCCCTCCGGTTATTTGGTATTGTTGTTGAATGATCACATAAAAAAAAACTGTTCCTTATGTAGATTTTGTTCCTGGTTTCCCTTCAAAAAAAAATCAACAGGAAATAGCTAAAAGGCATTTACACCTGAGCCATTCTCCATTAACCCAAACTGCATTTACAAGGTGTTACTGCATTCACTTGTCTGAAGTTTCTTTGGCATACTTCATGACAGAAAAAGCTACATTCCAGAACTCATTGCATTTCTGCAGGATAATGAGAGCTCTTAGGTATCTACCCACAGTGGAACTGACTGTAGATTTTTATGGTATTAAAATGTAATTTTAAGGACCCTGGACAGGCTTTTACTACTGTGGTTTGCAACACTGCACTAACTTTTACAAGACTCCAAAAAAATAAATTAATTAAAAAAAAAGGATTCAGTCAAAATGATTAAGTCCAGAACAAAATGCAATGTGTCATAAGTCTAACTTGATCATAATGTATAAAGCCAAGGTTTTTATAGCTTGGCAAAGTTAAATAAAGTGCCACTAAGGCTTTCTTATATTAGACACATGACACTGGTTTAAATCATTTCAATAACTGATATGGTTAAGCCAATGCACCCCACAAAGAGTTATATTTACGGTGTTGTTTTTTTTCTTTGCTTAAATCTATTTAGTTGTCAGGAAAATACCGATTTAAGAAAAATATAATGCAACAGATACTTGAAACTGGTTTAATTCTATACTTTAGAGGGATTCCACTAGTTTAACTAGAGCAGTGGTTCTCAATCTTTCTAAAATAAAAGGCATCCATTGACAGACTCCAGGCACCTTGCAGAAAATGCAAGCTCTTATTTTTCCATAGCCAACAAATGAGTGAAAACTAAGTAGAGCAATTCTGTTGCAAAGAACTCAGAAAGACCTCAGCAGGTCAAAATGGTTTTAACACTATGCATTCCAATTTGAAATGTCTGGGTTTATCTTATGAATCGTGTTTGCAAAGCTAATAATGCTAACATTACGGGACACCCTGCAGCATCCTTGACAGACAGCATTCAATGGCACCCTGGCTAAGAATCACAAGGCTGAGGGCTATGACAATACATAAACAGATTAAAAGGATATATGCATTTAATAACCAAAAAAAAAACTACTTCTAGAAGGGGGGGAAAAAACTAGTGATATTGGATTAAAATATGATTCTCCTCTTAAAGGACACCAAGTAAAAATGGCATCTTTTTGCTTAGTTAGACCTGCTGTTTCTGTATACAGAGACTATGTCATACGCGCACATTTATTTCAGGCAATGTTTTTCTAACTAGTCTGAAGCTAAAAGTATACTCTTTTGACTACATCCGTGCTTCAGTCTCTGGAGGATCAGCAGCTGAATGTTTATTAAGCACCAACTAGGTCCATCCATGTAATTCCAATAAAAACAGTAAGTATACCAAAATACGCCCCAAAGCGTAAATCTAAGAACAGGATTATGCAAAAGTAACTACTTTGGTCTGCAGAATCCTAACAATAGGAAGCAAAAAGATTTGAAAAAAAAAAAAAAACAGTTCCTTTTGACTTTCACATGCCAGAATGAGTTAGCAGGGCAAAAACAACAGTTTAAAGTACTGTATTTACTCACATCTAGGATGAGGTCCCCTCCCCCTGCTATTCAGCATGGATGGGAACTCTTAAATTCAATTCTCTTAGATTCAATTACAAGTTGGGGGGAGAAGGGAGGCAGCAGCTGTAATTTTCCCCCAAGGCCCCAGGCCCAGAGTCAGAGCTGCAGCCACTGCCCTCTACCACCACCTGCCCCCAACAGCCTCTGCTCCCTAGACCACTGCTCAAGTAGCAGATACAAGAAACAAGACAACTCTACCCAGTAATAAAATATTAGTCTTTGTTTTTATTCATTCTCATAAAATTACTCAGTTGATTGGAATAGTAAAAGAAATATAGGGGAGAATAGTAGAGCTTAAAAATATACATTTCATTACATTATTTAATAATCAAAAAGTAACTGTCATGACCCAAAGGCATGATTTTGTGTGTGCTTCGGCACCAGAATTATCCCCCCCAGGTTACAGCTTCATTGCACGGGAGAGTTTCCTATAGCAGAGGAAAACCCCGGTGCAAGGACGAGTTTCCCGCCTCTTTGCAGCTTCTTTTGCAGGGTGCATTGCTCAAGTTGCAAGAGAAATGCACGGTGCAAAAGAGTTCCCGCCACCCACATGCAAATTCATTCCCCGCTATTGGCTAGTTTTAAATTATTCCCACATGGCGGCTAACGATTGGCCTGTTAGCCGTATAAGAGGCTTGAGCAGTTTCCGCCCAAGCTGAAGAGGACTCCACATCCATCTCGTGGGGACTCTGGATACACGGCAGGGTAATAGAGACCCTGTGTGAGATTCAGAGGAGCTTGGCAACCTGATCCATCGCCCACCTCTTCCCGTCTTCGAGCGGAAAGAATTTATAAGACATATCTACGAGTCCGATTTTGGTGGCGCTCACCCAGAGCATCCGGAGCTCTGTTTCCATGGAGCCTAGCAAACTCCACGCAACCGTTCGTGTTGTCTGTGTCTGTAACCGCAACTCAAGCAAGTTTTCCAGCCTACACCACGACCATCTCTGGTGCAAGTAAACAATCTTTAAATCTACCGCTAAGCGTTTGTGCCTAATTCCAGCTCGTCGCCCTCCCTCTCCGATCCAGCGTGCCCGGGCTGCTGGCCAGAGCCCGCGTGCAGCACGGAAAAGGGCCCGGCTCGCGCCCGGCCCGCACAGTAACCAGCAGAAAAGAGAAGAGCTCAATAAAAACAACGTGAAGAGAGCATGTGGTTTATTTGGTTGGTTGTTTTTTTTAAACTGCAGAAATTACTTTCCTGCAGCTCCTTGACAAAGCTCTTCTTAAACATTTGGCTCTACTGCTCTGCTAAATAACTCACCTGAATAAATTAAATATATTAATCTGAAAGACTAATTATAAGGGAAAAAAAAAGTCTCCCTAAATTAAAAAGCCAGCATGAAATGAATATCCATGTACAGCAACACAATGAAGTTATACTTCTAGCACGCTAGTTTGAAATAACGCCACAAAAACTTGTTAAACAATAGTGAGTAAGTGTTGACTATAATTTTCTTTGGGTTGTTTTTTTTTAATCTTTTATAGAAGCTATTTAAAACCATGATATGCTCTCATGTGCTTCGTTGCAGAGACAGTTTTCAGAAAGGACTTGCAGGAGCTGCAAGACTTTTCAGATGTACTCAGACAAGGTTATTCCATGCTTCAAGGGTTTCATGCCTTCCTGTCTTTGCAAACATTTAGGTCAGAAGCTGACAAAAAGGTTGGTAACATTAGCATCACTAGTGAAATAATGTAGAGATGGTGCAGTTTAAATATAAGTGAATAAGCAGGCAAGGCAGAGTTATGCTGGATATTGAGGGCAGTAGTAAGAAAAAGTCCTTGGTACAAGTGAGATGGTGAAGTACATGATCACGTGCAAAAAAAAGTCTAAATGTAAGTGCCCTGTATAGACTGGAAGGGATAAGATGAACTTCACAGAGATTTAAAAAAATGAGTTACAGTAGTTATAACTGGAAGTGAGGGAAGGAAAGAAAAGGATAATCTTACAGAGGCTGAGAACGAAGAAACTTTAAAAAACAGAACTAGATTTGGTAGGTAGGGCTGGAAAAGGATCACTTAGTTTACCTGACCAATCCAAATGTATAGGCATGAGTGACATGAAGGATTGTGGTGATGCTGACTGTGACAGAGAAAGGAAAGAGATACCAGGAAGGAAGACAGGGAATCTTACTTTGCCTGTCTTCCACTTAAGTTGAAGGCAATGCATTCAAAAACAGATGCGAGATATACCAAGATGCACAACAGGATGAAAGGAGACAAGTCAGGACCTTAATGGCCATATCCAGATGTGCAGGCACGTGCAGTTTGTGGAACCGCAAACTGCACACGTGGAACGTTAAAACGTGCCCTGCACTGCAGCACGGGGGCAAAATTTGCTACTGGGATTTTCCAATAGGAAAAAAAAAGCACTGGGGAAAATGCAGCAGCACAGCGTGTGCTGGAACAAATGGAGACTTTGTCCTCCAGTGAGAAGCTATGGCTGCCAGCCAGAGCATCTCTACTGCTCCCTTTGTGCCCCTGCTGTTCCAGCACACCAGGAGCCAGGAGGAGCTTGGCAAGGGCAGTTTGCTTAAAGTGGGACATTATATCCTGCAACAAAGCACACATGCAGGGGCATGCACTGAGGCACAATAGTGCCACTGCAAGTGAATGCCCTTGCACATCTGGACATGGCCTAACAGTTGAAACTAGGTAAAAGGGAAGGGAAAGTGAGGAAAAGATGCATAAGGCAGATCCCGGTAATACCCCTACAAAGAGAGAATATTAGGCCAATACTATTACTTTATACCCATCATCCTATCCTACTACTTTCACTTTCTATAGTTTAGTAAAAAAGCTGGTTTTAAGGCAATGTGAATCTTGCATCCGCTTTGGTAAAGGGCATTCATGTCCAGGTACCTTAGGAGGTAAACTGAACTCTCAATTCAAAGAAGTCAGGACCGGACAGAGTAATGGCATGGATGATGAATGTAAAGGAGGAAAAGACATTGCAAAGAAAACCCCACCAATGAACAGTGACAGAAAGGATACTGGAAAGAGCAAGGAGCTGCAAAAAGAGGTGTGCAGCAAGGTTACAGAACAAAGCTGAAATTTCAAAACGGAAAAGGAGTCCCTAGTCAAGCTGATACTGGACCCTTAAATCATCAGTTTTCAGCTGTGGTACAAAAAACAACCTGGGAAAAGAAGCTGTAGTATCTGTATTAAATTAATTGTTTTGCTTTTGTCAAACATGAAACAGATCAGGAGTAACACTACTGCATAATCTCCAACAGTCTGCTTTGGAAATATTCATCAGGGTTCAATGTACTACAGGCACTTCTTAGTTAAATATTTGAAGTCTGTTTGCTGGCTTATAAACAAAACTTTTCTGACATACAAGCTTCAGAAGTCTTTCACAACACACTATAAAAACATGGAGTTTTTCTCCCAAACAGACTAGTACCAAACAAACTACCTGACCACCACTGCTGAACTTTTTTTACTGTCAATATTAATACATTTTCCTCCCCAAGTCTGTAATGCAGCACAAATGCTAAAAGCTTCCCACCTCATAAACCAGACCAAGATCTTGACTGAAAGTCACTAGAAATGTAAAACATAAAGAAAAGTGCTTTTGTGGGGGAGGTAACTTGAGAGAGAAGAAAAACACCTTGCTATTCCAGCTGTACCTACTCCGTACCAAGATTTAAACTTAATTGGGATTTGAAAATGTTAAAGACCAGGAATACAGCAGAGCTCTCAGCTGCATAAAGTACTCAACATATTTTGATTATCGATTTACTACATACAACCCAATTCAAAGTCCAAGTTCGAAGTTTTAGCTAGATCTGCTGGTGCTGCCAATTTCTTCCAGAATATAGCAATGCAAACTCTTAAACCAGAGAACAAGCTGGAGCCATTGAATGATGTCTACCAGGCAGCCACCAGCTGCCTGACATACCAGCTTCTAGTTCACTTCACCCACAGGGCAAGACCCAACTATTACCTGAATTATTTAAAAAAAAAAACACACTACACATCACACACAGAACTGACCATATGAAAACACTAACATTTTTAAGCATGACCTACTTGTAATTACATAGAAACACAACCAAACAAACAAAATGTTGATAAAATTGCAGGCAAAATTAAAAAGTCAACAGCATCTGTGCAATCCTGGACTCTTCAGCTTGGCAGCAACATCTGTGCAAACCCATTTATGGATAATGAAGATGCTTAGATCTTAACTATGGGTGCACATGATAGAAAGAATTTGGTGTGACAGCCAGAGTAAGTTCATAGGGCTAGTAGTTTGCAAGTAAATTATTTTTTTTTCTAACTGAACTCAGTTCAATATGCTGAGCATGATATTCTACAGTGCTGTTTGCACAAAGCCACTTATGGCAAAAATTTACTAACAGCTTGGCCTTGGTTGCTCAGTGGTTCGGGACAGATGCAATGCACTTTTGCCTCATTTTCAAAATATATATTATTTAAACTGCCAATTTTACCTTTTATCTGCTGTCAGTTGTACTAAAATGGTGTCTTGCACCATTAATCTCAATAGCTCATTCACATTGTACTCAAATGGACAGACTTCAAAGCACAGTCCCAAAATGCAGTACTTGGGCCAACACTGGCTCATGAGCATAGGCACTCTTTAGACAGCCGTCTGGTTATAGTGTTGGCTTTTTTCTTGGTTTGTAAATGTTACAATGCGCTAAAGACAGCTAAAAGTTATCATAAATGCTTCTTACTATTATTTGGCATATAAGCACTTGTGTATTTGCAAACAGCTCTTATGTAACCACAGATGAGAGTGGGAGGATCTGCGAGACCACAAAGGGGTTCCTGAGATTCCTCTGAGATCCAGTGGATAAGCTCATTATAAGTCTGTCCCAGCACTAGGGCACAGAGTGCTGAGCAGCTGAACAGTTCATCTACAAGATGAAATGTAAGGATGTGTCTTTGTTGGTCAATTAACTCTGGTTATCACTATGTAGGGGGTGGGTGCTCATCTCACATTAGCCTACCTCAATACGGAGCTTCCACACTGCAAAGTAACACTCAAGCTGCTGCATCTACACGTACGCCAAAGTTTTACATGGCACTAAGATTTCTGGAGGCATGCCCCAGGATCCTTATCTCTACAACTGGATGAGCTACAAAATGAATTCTTCAGGAAGGTGTTGTAGAAGAATGTGTCAGTCCTTTCTGGGAATGCAAGATGAAATGTGGAAAGGCACTAAGGGCTTTTACACATGTGCTCCAGAAGTGGGAGGGAGAAAGTGGAAGAGGAAGGGGGGGGGGGGGGGGGGGGGGGGGTGCTTTAATTAGAGCTGCTCTGAGAGCCACTCTAATTAAAGCACCGGGAGCATCTCACGTATCAGTGTCCACAGGCATCAAAATGGCAATGCTCATCGAACGAGCTTTAGATAAACTGCTTCTGCTGCCATAGTTAAATACAAGGATGCTGATAACACAAGGTGCTGGAGGCTGCTGGAACACAGTAATTACCATGCTCCAGCAGACTCAATTACAGTGCGTCTGAGCAGCTTCACTGCTCGTGTATAGGCACCCTAAACAATTAGCAATCTAAGTGTTGCTACACTAAGCCCACATTGTAAAGGGATTGTTAAGCAGTCAGGGGCAAGCAATTATTTCTGGTGGAGGGCCGCTCATGCGTTTTGGCAAGCCATTGAGGGCTGCATGACTGGCAGCCAGGAGCAGATAAATATTAATTTTCTAAATTTGGGGGGGGGGGCCCGCAGGCCGGATAGAATGGCCTGGCGGGCCGCATTTTGCCCACCCCTGGTTTAGCTACTGAGTTGCAATCATTCAAGGATAACCCTGTACCCTCTCTCAGGCCACCCAACTCAAGGCAGTGATACTTGCATGTGGACAGAAGCCAAGCAAGACTGATATTATATTAGAAGTTAATTTCCTAATAAAGACAAATCTGGAGGCAAAAATTTTGGCTCCGTTTTTCAGAAACAGAAACTAAATAGTGAAATTTGACTTTTCAGAGTTAAGATGACAATCAATTAAAGAACAAAGGTTACTTAGTGCTAAACATATCATGGGACTGTATCATGGATATCCAGAAAAAGACAAAGGTTACTGGCAATAGATCAAAATAAGTAATAAACTTACCCACTACAGAAGCTCCTCTTTCAGCAAAAGCCAGAGCATAGGCTCTCCCTAGTCCTAGTTAAAAAAAAGAGTGGGGGGAAGAAGAGTGAATTCTTTTTCATACTTAAAATTAAGACAAATTACATAACAGATATAAATATATGAATGAAACCATATCACAACAAAATTGAGCTAGTTTAAAAATGTGATTAATTAAAAAATAATTCCATCTGGAAGCTGCTACAAAAGCATAATACTGTTCTGAAACGTAAAAGGTAAACCAGCTGAGAAACTGAGGACAAAAGAAATCCCAATCTTAGGAACTAATTATTCTCTATGCTTACTCAGTGGTAGGAAGCCTAGAAATGTCATCTTTGCAAGCTGCTTTATCTACAGGAGTTTCACATTTGTGGTGAGAGGCATTTGGGCCACTGATGGGGTAGTAAAAACAGAAAGTTGGGTGACCTCATGTAATCTGCTCTTCCAGGAGGGGAGGAGATGCTTCAAGTTAATGAACTACATTTTAAGTTAATAATATAGCCCTCCGGTTATGTTAGGCTTGTAGAGAGACCTGAGAAAGAAACACATGCCAGAAGAACGGAAATTAAATTACAAAAGTAAGTATCACTGCCAAGTACTTGAATTAAAAAGAAATGCTAGTTATCTACTGTCATGACCACCTGAGAATGCACAGAACCTTTCGTAGTGCATTTCTCCCCCTCCCTATTTTACATACCACCTTTACAGATCTTCCATTCAATCCTTTCATTGAATGGAAGATCTGTTTTCCCTTATTTGGACTCTATGCCTGTACTATACAGCTATTGTCTACTCATAACAAATCAAAAGCTACTGAAACCAAGCCTCTAAAAAGAATGGCAGAAATGTTGATGCTTTCCCCTCATAATCATCCATTTATTTATGATCAAGTTAAATTGAAAATTGAATTGAGCAGACATCAACAAACACAAATTTAGAGCAGTTTCCCACCCCCCTCCCCGATTCTACAATACCACTTTGTTCATCATGAACCACTCATGTCTAGCTCACATTTGCTATGCAGACTGTTCAAAACGCACTGATTTTGCTCTATCTAATACACAAATGAAACATCTGAATTTATGATCATCCTCGGTTCTCCATTACAGGTGTCAGTGGGACAAAAATGAAGTGCCATGAGGTATCCTGTAGACTCTGATGCCATAAGTACATACTAGAAAATAATACCGCTCTAATACTAGGTTCTTGGCAAGCTGCAGAATAGCCCCAAAATGTGTGTAAAGATTAAGAGCCCATCTTTCCACAGTACCTGGGCTGAGAAAAAAAATAACTCAAACCAATTAGACTTATGTTGCCTAATGGGTCATAGGATGTGCTGTGCAAAGTCAGCAGCTCCTTGGGATAAGTTAAACCATTATATTCCAAACAGCATGTGGTACCCAAAGGGAATTAGAAAAAGCATCTTTTCTCCTAATGAACTATTCCAGGACATCATTATCTAAAACAGTGATCTGCAACCAGATACCCTGAAGCTGTGGGGTTGCCTTGACATCCTTTGAAGGGTGCTGTGCAGTAACAGCACTGATAGGTGTGCAAACACCAATACATGAATCACAAGATAAACACAGAGATTTCAAACAGGAATGCACAGTGAGGTGCTGTGGTCTTTCTGGGTTCTTTACAACAGAATTTTTTTTCCATTATTTTTCCATAGTTTTTGAAACAGGATGCCACTAAATTCTGAGGAGTTGAAAACCACTGCTCCAGAATTTATACGCATCACCCAAATGACAAAGCATATTTAGGCTTTTTCAGCCCAAAAGGTCATTCCTGATGTTAATGGCAGATGAGGTTCCTTTGGCAGATGTGGTATCTTTTATTAGACCAACTAAGTAGTTGGAAAAATTGTTCTTTGCAAGCTTTTCGGCAAAAACACCGTTCTTCAGGCATAGGGACTACAACCAACATTCCTGATGTTAATGACACTTTTACCATGTAAAATAAGTGAAGAGTTGGTAATGTGAAAATATTCCTTCATAGAGAATATTTTACCTAAGTGGGGGAAAGACTAAAATAAGACTTGTTTAGAAAGTAAGATAATTCAAAAGAAATTCATACCCAGCGAAGTACTATTCACAGCATTCTCAATTAAAAAGTGAGGGTAGGAAATTTAAACCTTGAGTCTGGTTTAAAATAAAAGTCCTGAAATAATATTTTAGAGCAGTACAGGCCAACCTCTTTGGCAGGCATGCTACAAATCAGCCCTGCACCCTCCGGAGTGCCATTCTCATCCCCTTCCCAATCTACTGTTTTGCTTTCTGCCCTTCTCCCTGCCTGATCTGCTGCTCTGCTTTCTGCTCCATCTCCCATTGCACTGCCTGTTCTCTCTGCAATCTGTTGCATACCATATTAAGAGGCTGCCCATGCCACTTATGCCACAGGCTGGCCACCCCTATTTCAGAGGAAAAGCCATGCTGTTAAGTCACTCCTTAAAATAAAAAATGTTGCATGACATGAGAACACAGTCTTATGGAGAGATGGCCAAGGTTTGAAGGAATCCAATGTAATTTAAAAGTGGATGATTGCCTATTTCAAAACGTATTCCAAAACAACTGCAACTTGCAGAACACTTAGCACAGAAGTTGCAGAACACTTATCACAATGGCTTCCAGGTGTGGGGTGGAGAAAACCAGAACTACGAGCACAGATCAAGATACATGTGAGAACGTCTCTCACTAGTTCTGACCCGTGTAGCAAGATCAAGTTTCAAATTACTGTAGAAAGAAACAATGCTACTATAATCTATAACACTAACGCAAGATGTTCCTATTGAGAGCTACACAAAGCTTTTAGACTGATCTGTACTTTTGATTACATTTAAACAAAGATTTTTAAAAAATCAAAAACCAAAAAACCCAAAGCAAAAAAACAAAAAAACAAAAACAAACAAACAAACAAAAAAACTGTAGAAAAATCAGAACCAAGGAGGTGATACTTCCCCTCTATCGGGCGCTGGTCAGACTGCAGTTGGAATACTGCGTTCAATTTTGGGCACCACACTTCAAGAGAGATGTGGATAACCTGGAGAGGGTCCAGAGAAGGACCACTCATATGGTTAAGGGCTTGCAGGCCAAACCCTATGAGGAGACACTAGGGCACCTGGACCTTTTCAGCCTCCGCAAGAGAAGGTTGAGAGGCGACCTTGTGGCTGCCTATAAGTTCATCATGGGGGCACAGAAGGGAATTGGTGAGGCTTTACTCACCAAGGCGCCCCTGGGGGTTACAAGAAATAATGGCCATAAGCTAGCAGAGAGCAGATTTGAACTAGACATTAGGAAGAACTTCTTCACAGTTCGAGTGGCCAAAGTCTGGAATGGGCTCCCAAGGGAGGTGGTGCTCTCCCCTACCCTGGGGGTCTTCAAGAGGAGGTTGGATATGCATCTAGCTGGGGTCATCAACCCAGCCCTCTTTCCTGCCTATGCAGGGGGTTGAACTTGATGATCTATTGAGGTCCCTTCCGACCCTAACATCTATGAATCTATGAATCATTCTTCCACAAAGGTAAATTTATCTGTTAAGTAACCACTTGCAGTTCACTGAATCATAGAAAAATCAGGGTTGGAAGGGACCTCAGTAGATCATCTAATATAACACCCTGCTCAAAGCAGGACCATCCCAACCAGTCATACAATTACCCTAAGGATACCTGGACAAGCGCGTTTGCCTTCTAAATCCTTTAGAACAGTGTTTTGCGACCTGTGGGTTGCAACCCACAAGTGAGCCGCAACAACATATGAAAGGGCCATGAACAAACTTTAAAAATGAATCAATAAACTTTTAAAATGGATTTTTGTTTAAAGAAGAAAAATATGGGAAATGATGGATTTTGCTTGCAGGCTGTCAGGAGTTCCAGCCTGCATGGGGCTGCTTGGCCCCTGACCCCATGCCCCAAACACACACACCCCATCCTGCCCCACACACTGGGGGGGCTGGAGGTGGGAGGCAGCGGGTCAGGATTGGCCACTGATGTTTACAAATGGCTCCTGGTACAAAAAAAATGTTGAGAACCACTGCTTTATAGCAAGTGACTTTTAAAAATTAACCAGGGGTGGGGGGCACATTTGACAAGCGTTGTCAAAGTCAACAGACAGAGAGAAGCAGCAAAAGCAGCTTAAGTAGAGGAAACCAGGGGTGAGAGTTGACAGACATTAAGACTCCCTGCTCCTCCCAGCAGAGAGGGAGCTGGCTGCCATTACTTGTACCTTTGGGCGGACTACGACGACCTAACTTTTAAGGAAACCCCAGCCAGCAACCGGTGGGCAGCACAGGCCGCCACGATCACACAAGATGTGCCCCCCGCTCTCTGCCGTGGTTCCCGGAGCGCTCCGAACCCCACGGGAGACCCCAGGCACTCCCAGCGTTGCGCTGAGACTGCAGGCATGGAGATCTCCTGCGCTTGAGCGCACAAGGCTGCCCAAGGGCAGGACACCCCACAGGTGACAGGCGTAACCTCTGCGGGCCCCCAGCTCTGGCGAGGGACAGAGCAGCCTCCTCAGGAGCAATGGCCTGGGACCAGGTGACAGTAAGGGGAGATGGCGAAGACCCTGCTCTTCTCCAACGAGCCCACGTCCTGCAGGCGGGTGGACACGCCACGGGGCGCACGGGGAGGGGGCCGCTCTGCCCGCAAAGGGGCGCTCGGGCTTGGAAGCTCTGGGCCAGGGAAGGCAGCCCAGAGCCAGTGCCCGCCCCCGCCAGCAGCGACCCCTTACTGGGCAGGAGTCCCGGGGCTGCCCCGGGCGGGCCCCGCACTCACCTCCGCCCCCGCCGGTCACCAGCACGACACGCCCGTCAAAGCGCAGCCGGGCCGACATGGTGCACCCACACAGCGCCGCACGGCAACCGGGCAAAGGGCAGGAGCTGCGCGCATGCGCCGGGCCCAGGACCCGCCCACCGCGCGCAGCCTCCTGGGACTTGTAGTGCAGGCGTAGGGGAGGGGTGCACCACCCTGGCACGGGCCTCAGCCCCGCTGCGGTGCAGACTGCCGATTCTGACTAAAGCGACTCAAGGAGAGTTTTTTTGCCCAACGTGACGTAGTGTCATTCATTTCATTTTTCTTAAAATATCCTATTAAAGTCTCCCGGGATCCCGGTACACTGCCGGCCAGCCCGGGAGGGTTGGCAACCCTGCGCAGGTTTGAGTGTGGCCGGCCTGACCCAGGGGCGCCCGGCCTGCAACCCGCAGGTCGATGCAGCCCGTCGAGACGCTACAGGTCTGGAAATGTGGTGGTGCAGCAGCGGTGACTCTTAACATAGCCACCCTCATCCCTGCCAAATGTCCAGCCCCTGAGACCCCTTCCCCCTAAGGGGCTAGGTCATATCCCACCCACCAGCACCCCTTTCCCACCCTCCACCGCAGGGTGGCATGAAGCTCCCTGCCCTGCTGAGGGGGCCAGGCACAGGTCATGGTGCCCTCTGCCCCTCAGGGTGGCTTCCCTACTGGCCCAAACACTGGATCAGAACCAGTCGCTCTAATTAAACCCCCCCCCCACACACACACACACCCACACACCCCTGGAGCACGTGTAAAAATGCCCTAAGTTTATACTTGATGAATAGCTGCTGTGCTGCCTGCTTATTTGAACAATGCTGCAATAGGACCTTGGAGGCAACCTGCAGCCTACAGGTCGGATGCAGCCCATGGAAATGTCACATCTGGCCCATGCTGTTGAGCCCCAGCTCAAGTCTGGGATCATGCCCGGTATGCAAAAGCCAATAAAGATACCAGGGGTGAAAGTATAAAGAAGATTTATTGCTAGCAATACAAGGTGCAAGCGGAATAATTTCACGTAACAAGCACACAGATTCTTAATTCTAAGCATCTTTTATACAGGAGTATTGGACCTTCATAAGCATTCTTGTTTGCTAATTGGTTATAAGGGAGTGACGCAAGGAGTTCTTTACTGAGCATGTCTCTATACCTGTGTTTTAGCTATGTATCTCATTTCCATACATGTATGTTTCATTAGCATACTTTCTCCCCACCTAGGGGTGTGATTTTTAATATTTAAATTAGCTCTTTGCCCTAGTCCTCTGATTCTGCTTTTGTTTTCAAGCATCCTTTATCTAAGACTGTCTCATCATTGCAGATGGGCATTAGTTACATAACAGAGACTTTTGCTTGGGCTTTGTATAGTGGTTTCTAGGTCAAACCTGACATTCCCCTCTCTGGAGCATTTTTAATTATTTTTATTATAATTGCTCCACTCAATTTGTTTCAACACAAATCTAGTATTCTCAGCTTTCTTCGTTTGTAAAATCATTTGATTCACCTTAGGCCTGAAGATAGATAAGAAGACAGGTAAACATTGTATACAGCAACAGGCCATAATCCCTATAACACAAAATAAAACAACCATACTAAATAACTGTTTCAACCATCCAAAATTGGGAAGCAAGGAAGTTAACCAGGACAAGTCTAAGCCAGATGATTCTTTCAACGTCTGTGCCAATCGTTGTAAGGCACCAATTTTGTCTTCAATTAGTACAGAATTATCAGTGAGGTTGAAACAGCACATTCCTTTTAAAGTTTCACATCCGAGATTGTGTCGTAACAAGAGATAATCAATAGCGGCTCTATTCTCTAAGACAGAGTCCCTTAATTGTTTTTGTTCAGCATTCAGGGCTGAGAGCGCTCAGGAAGTAGCATTTAGTCCTTTTGCTAAAACACAGGCCACTGCATTAAGATTTCTGCTATTACTTACAGCAAGACCCGGAACCCCCACCATAGATGCAGCTAATGCTATGTATTCTGCCTTAGATAATAGTCCGGGGGAATCATTCTCATCACAATCAGCCGTGAGAGCAGTGTATGCTCGTTTAAACCTCCCACCAAGAGGGGTTTGTTCAGCGTGCATTAGGTCAGATTTCCTCGGGAGAGCTGCAGTTACCCGGGCAATGGTGCATGGTCCCCCAGTAGCATTTGCTGGAAGGTATGAATATATCATTCTCCCGCAGGCCAGAAACCATCCTCGAGGAAGGATGGTATGCGTGTATACATAGGATATTTGATTGGTCTTGTTACAAAGGATTCTTCTACCTTGGTTCAATTTGAAGCAATTATTAGTACAATTAACTATTAGGAAACATTCAGAAGCATTAGCTGTTGCCTGAACCCGTACGGAAAACATGTCTCTATTCTTCTCTTTTACAATAGTCCCCCACTTATATATATTCTGATATGTACTTTTCTTCTCTACATTCTTCAGCATAGTATAATTTTGTAAAATTTTTAAAGGGGTTGGTACTGCGATTAAGCATGAGGTAAAAACCAGGTGAGCATTGATCCCTCCCGCTAAGCAGAAGTCCGTTCTATTTAAAATTTCCCGGGCCAGATAAATCCAGACATTTTCCTGAGGGTCAAATTTTTGTTGTAAAAGGGTTTCCCCTCCTATAAGTAGGAGTGGACAGATCAGGGTGCCCCACAATAAAACCTTGAACAATTTCATAATAAGGCTTATAAAACTTAATCAAAGATTGTCAAATTATTCAAAGTTCCTTTCTTTTGAATAGGAATTTCAAGTCTCTTATTGGCTCCACCTTCCACTGTTCTCTGTCTCCGGTCCCGGAGTCTGCAGGGATTCCTTCTTGTTCTGGTCCAGCCACCGGCTTTAGGCGACTGGAATGTATCCAAGTCTTGATTCCTTCGAGCTTTGCGGCCGTCGGGGTCGTTAGAAGTACCCTATATGGGCCTTTCCATCTGGCTCGAAGTGGTTCCTCGTTCCAATCTTTCACAAGGACGTAACTCCCAGGTAATAATCGATTTCCCAGGGCAGGATACTGGTCCTGTGTCTGCAGCACGTCCCGTACCTGCTGATGGATGGAAGACAAAACAGAAACCAAGGACCATACATATTCTCTAATCATTCCCTCTCCTAAAACATGTAACTGTTGTTCAGTACCCATGGGCAGACTCAGAGGGTAAGGCTTACCATACATTATTTCAAACGGGCTTAATCCCAATTTAGAATGTGGTGCGACCCTTACTCGTAACAGGGCCAAGGGTAGGGCCTCTGGCCATTTGAGTCGAGCTTCTTGGCAAATCTTTGCAAGGTGTCTTTTTAAGGTCTGATTCATACGTTCCACCTTTCCACTGGACTGAGGTCTCCAAGGGGTGTGTAAATGCCAGCTGATTCCCAGGAACTCAGAAACCTTCTGAGTAATTTGTGCAATGAAATGTGGGCCATTGTCTGACCCTATTCCTTTTGGAAGTCCGAAGCGAGGTATGATTTCTCGTAGGAGTGTCTTGACTACCTCCCGGGCCTGGGCAGTCCGACATGGGAAGCACTCAACCCAATTAGAGAAAGTGTCCACAAAGACAAGGAGATATTTTATCTCTTGTTGCCGGGGCAACTCAGTAAAATCCACCTGCTATTCTTCTCCTGGCCCATTGCCTATTCTCTGATGTCCTGAAGTTTTTCTTCTCCCTCCTTATGGGTTATTTCTCTGGCAGACCTCACATGTCTCTGATACCTCCTTGGCAGCCTCTCTTAATCCCACTCTAGTTACATAGTAACTGATCCATCTTACCAGGGCCCTGGGTCCGTAGTGGGTACCATGATGAGTGCTCTTTACTACCACATGAACCCAGGCAGCTGGGATGATAATGCGGCCATCCCTTGCTACCAGCCACCCGTGCTCCCCCTTCTTTGCTTGAAACTCTTTTATCAATTGTTTGTCTCTCAGATTTGGCCTTGAAGAATAAACAGCTTCCAATGTTTGCAGGCAGTCATGTACAAGATCTGGTGTGTCAGCCATAGATGGCAGCAGTGTTGCTGGATTTACAGTGCGAAAAATGGCCAATTTTTTT